AAGATGAGCCCGAGTCCTCTGCGGCACGTGTTGTATCTATATAATAGTAGTCGATGCTCAAATCACACTACCACAGTACACTGGCACTGCACTGGCACCGCTCAGGCGCACTCTCGCAGAACGGACTTGGAGCATTCGGCATACAGTCAGTGTCACGACACGACGCCGACTGCACATTTCACAACTAATATATGCCACATTTAACTCATATGGTGTAATGTGTGCGAGCCGTGATGTGGTGGTGATGTAGGCTGAGTGAATTGCTCAAGTGACTACGTGGTCACATAGGGTCCACCACCAGCCACCCATTTCAATAATGCGTATATTATATTATGTCTTTATATATATAGTATATATATTATATCTATATACTCAAATATGGCTCATGATAAATAATCAGATTATTCTATCTCTATTATTATTGTATAATTTAGCTCTATTGTTATTCACTCCTTAGATAAAATAATGTAACCAACAAAGAGTAGGTGACCTACTTCTTGTGGTTAATTATTGTATCTATTCCTCCTAGTGCATAATTATATATATATAGTATCTATATACTATATTGCTTATATGAGTCGAAATATCTAATATGCGTATTATAGCCCGTTTTATTCCCCTGGGCGAATTTATATATTATTCGCTCATGGAATTGTCTGGGAATTTTCTGTCATTACACATTAGATCCATAGAGAAACAGCATGCACACGTTTGAGTTTGCTCTCTCCCTACCACTATTTCTAGTAATTATAGGATGAAGTTTCAGAGAAGGAGAGCCAGTGTTGCAGAGTGAGTTTTGCTCATGTCATGACACCTTTTAAGAACTATTATATTAACTGCACAGAGGAACCGAATGTCAAAATACGTTTGAAAACATCAGTTGATTGATTGATTATAAAAATAGCAAGTTTACTCTTTTGACTAACACAGACACATCTGGGTTGGTTCCGAAAATAAATTAGCTTGAAACAAAACACCACTTTGTCTTCAAACAGTAAGCGTGCCGCAACGTCTAAACATGCGAACCAAGCTGTCTACCTCGTGAAAAAACCAAATTTTTGTATGTTTTCTAGTTCGGAAGTTGAAATTACATGTTTGGATTATGAATTAACTGATGTTACATACAGTTGAGTTGGGAAGTTTGAATAGAATAGAATTTCATTTTTTTTCAACATCGTGTTACAAAATTACTCATTAGCATATTTTGACTCATATTTATTATATATATATTATATATGCTGCACAGAGGAGCGATGGTAGACAGGAAGGGGAGATAGATTAATTTATTAGATGTTATGAGAATGCAGAGAAGCAGGGCCAATATTGTTGTCTATGAGTTTGTATCGAGTTGATTATGTGCATAATCAACTCGAGTACACGCATCATGAGCATTAAAACTTGTTTATCGAAATGTAATTCGTTAGTTTATTTACCATTATTTTATTATAATGGCCCCAGGGTCTGTGTTATTGAAGCTGAGCTTCGTGCAACGATATTTGCACGGTGGCGTGTGAGTCAGTTAGCATTTTTGCAGACTGGGTCGAACCCAGTGACATTTCGTATGATTTCTAATTCCATGATACATATCTATATTCATGCATGCATTAAGGCTACTTTCGAAGCACTGCAATACTTATATTTTTATGTTATGTTGTGATTTAGATTAATACCTTGTGGGTGACTACCTTTGCTTATCAATATTTTATTGCCTCATTGGGGGGTTGACACAGGTAACTTGACAAAGTCTTAAAGCTGGCACTAGTCTCATTATGTCATTGGTTATATTATCTATTGTCTATGACTTCTGCCAGAAGCGCCACATTGTTTGTAAGGTGATATCTTTGTAGACAGGGTTATTTATTCGGATTAAGAGAACCAGATGGGACGCAAATGATGATAAATTGCATTCTCAAATTCGGATGAGGTTCTCTTTTTGAATTGTCTGTGTATGTTTGCTGCTAAACTGGTTGGTGTGGATATTGCCCGGTCTGTGGTACGACTTCCTGATGACACATCATGTATCCTTTGCGTTTGCTGTAATCGTGAATAATGTAGTCACTGTAAACTTACAGCTTTTGAAACATAATAAAGACTTAATGTATATATATATACTCATTTTCTGTATTTACATATCAGTGTGTAAATGCAAAGTGAATGTGGTGATATCCTCAGAATGGTAGCGGGCAACTCGGCAATCTCTGCTGTAGTAGTAGATGGTAGATATAGCCCAGTTTATACGTTTCATGTTTGATATTTGCATAGCCAAATAAAAACATACTTGCTTAAACTGGAACCAAGAGCATAACCATTTTGAATACACGGTGGCTTACTGTTGCCCGACTTTGATTTTGCTACCGTGTTATATTAACCGTCGTGTTTTTACTCTTGTGGCATACCTGTTATGCATTTTGTTATTCCTTGGTTATTAATTTGTGACTATATTATACCATGGTCCAATCAACAGTGAACAACACGCCGCCGAATTAGATGTATATGAATGAAACGGGTTGGCTTGTGACTGGAGTCTTTTTCGTTCTCTACGGCTTGTATTGGATTGCTGTGAGAGGAACCAACAAGGAGTTTTCACACGTTGGACACCATGCTACCACCTCTATTACATAAGTATTGCAGCTGTTGTTAGGGTGTTACTTATGGCGATTGTTAGTATTTGTGACAGTTTAAACGCTAAAGTCGAGTCTAATTGTTTATTTATGTAGTTCCAGGAGTATCATTGAGACTTGAAACAAATTCAAACATTCTGAAGTTGTTCACTGGAGGTGAGCTGACATAAGTGTTAAATTAAAAGTAATATTCAGCCTGAGAATAGAATATAAGAAGCATATGAGAAGGCGGGATGAAGAGGGACGGAGGCTGCTGTTGTAAATCAGTTGTAACAACGCAATTTCCCACAGCTACGGTTACCCTAGACTTGGTAGGAGGATCGTGTACGTATTTAGGAGATGTTACAGGGTGCGAAATTTAACGGGAGTCAGGAGTCAAATACTCCCTGATTTCTGTCGGACTCCCTCATTTGATATATGCCAGCGAGTCCGTGTGACTCCCTGAATTCTGCCTTCAACTGTTCGTTCCAGAGCAAGCCTCGCCGATTACCATATTTTTCAGTAACAAGTCAAAGAAATTTGGCAGACGTGCAACGTATGAATCTTAAAATAGCGCAATGTGTTAGTGATTATATTGTAGACACGGTTATGCACATTATCTTTTATTTTGAACTTCAGATGCGGATCCCTCTTGATGCTGGCGGATCCCTCCTTTGAAGGGAGTAGGGAGTCCGTTGGACTCCCAGTGTTCAAAGTTAATGTTCTAGCCTGGATGTAGTACTTTAAATTTAATCTATATTGTTTATGTGACTGAATTAGTCATGAGTAAAACCTTTCTTGCTTTGGCAGCAAGCGGTTCTGGCATGGAGATGATTAGATGATTTGAATAGTGGGGAAGATTATGTATGCCTACTGCAAAGTTGGAGGTTCACATAAAACATTGAATAATTTGTGTATAACAGGGTATGTTTCAGTCTGTTTCGTCATTAGTTGATTCAAGGATTGTGTACAAAAGGTATATTATATTGTTGTGGCGAATTAAGGTGCGAATTAACGGGAGTCAGGGTCAAATACTCCTGATTTACTGTCGGACTCCTGATTTGACATTATGCAGAGAGTCCGTGTGACGCCCTTGGAATTCTGCATATAACTTAGTTCGTTCGGAGCACAGGCCCTCGCGAATTACTGTATTTTTTCGCTAATGTCAAAGCAATTTGGCAGTATGCAACTGCTGAATTTAAAATAAAGCACATGCGTTAAATTAATTGTTAATATCTTTATTTTGAACCTCGCTGCGGCTCCCCTATTTTGTGCGGAGTCCTATTTTGGCTTGCGGATCCTCTTTTTGGGTAGGGAGTTCGTGGACTCTCTTTTCAAAAGTCAATTTTACCCTGAAATTAACAGTAGGAGATCTGAGATACGCTAAAATACTGTGCAGATTGAGAAGACTATGATGTGATATAGCCTAAATTTTGAAGCGCAGCCACATCAAAGTTCTGCTTTGAAATGTTATTACAAAATTAAAAGTTATGACGTTCATAGGATAAATAGTTACCACTATCCCGTTCGCAAAATTTTAACATATATTTGTATACGGTGCTTCCCCCCCCCATTACTTATGACGTCCTTGACATGTGGGTTACCGCTTACAAAAAGTGCATAAATACTTTAAATTAGTGTAAAAAACAATCGAAAGTGGTAAAAATTATGATACTAGTTTCTTTACATAGGGCTGCTCGGCTATTTTAAGCCTCATGTACTGTTGTTGTTTATTTTATTGTACATAATTGTCGTTGTATGTTATTATGTGAGTTGCAGCAGTGGTGTTGGTGTCGACTGTCGATTTTGTTATTGTTCTTGTTCGTTGTTGATCTGTGTTGTTGATGCTGCTGACTGTCGTTGGTGTTGTTGTTGTTGTTGCTGCTGCTTTAGCGAAAAAGTTGTTTGTTTAATGTAAGTGTAGAATGTTTGATTTGATCCATGTTTGGCTGTTACACGCAAGGAGAGGTGAACATTGCCGCAAGGGTACCTGCGACCGCCATATCGAGATGTCACAAATTATTCACGTAGTGATCAACTGCTCTCTTTCTTGTTGTGAGGTGAAATATGTACTATCTATATTTATATAACTTCTTTTGACTATTTTAAAAAACTTTCAATAGCAGAGTACCCTTAAAGTTACATTATTGTAGGTGACTACGGTATACTCCGATTTATAAGAGTTCACCTCTGCCTTTCTGAGGTCACAGGTAACACCCAGTTCGTAGTAACACTTACACACTACAGAAAAGTGGTAATATACAAATTTACAACTTACAGTCTATATTAATTAAGCATAATTTTGTAAACTGCCTGTGATTTGTTTACGATGAGAAGCGAAAACGTCACGTGCGTCTAATCTAGGACAATAACAAATAACAATGACAGTGCACTACAAACCAGTTCGTGGGGTCTTTGTCGCTGACAACGGCCTTCCATGCTGCAAGCAATGAATCCTTATGCTTAACTAAGTCTACAGCCATTATACGTGATAAGTAAGTAGCAAAAAACTGATGATAACCACAAACGATCGTCTATATCCGCACTTTGATCCGCACTACGCGAAAGGCGTTTCACCTGATGCTCATTTATGATATGCATTATAGGGGGCGCTACGAATAGGCACAATTTATTACGAAGTTACGAACAGCGGAGGTGGTGAATGTATGTGTTGTGGATTTTGGTATTTGGTCGAGTTTTAAAATCCGTAGAAATCGCTACAATCACGTAGGATTAGCGCATTAAACTCTGAAGTACACGGTCCATGAAGCATCCACCCACATAAACCTACAATGTATGAAGATGAGGGTAAGCAATAAACTAAGATCTTATATGATTTCTATAGATTTATGGAAAGTAAACAAAGTACAGTTCGTGACTATGTGCCTGTTTCATTTCGTTTTCTGTTTTTGCTTAACGTTTAACATTCAAATATACTAGTGAGACTGTAATTTACGAATTATGCAACTATATCTACCAGCGACCAATGCGGCACGCATGACCTCGGATAAAGGACCATTTGCCTCTAGGAAAGCAATGCTGTCTTCTGATTAGGCCTACATTGCCATTGGCATTGCCCAGGCCAGGCCATGGCATTGCCAATAGTCAATACTATTAGTACTAGTACTAGTAGTATTACTAGTATTAGTAATACTAATAGTAATACTGCGATTTACAGTACAAATTCAGACTCATTGCAATTTGCATTTATAATTTCCGTAATATCATGAATTATAGTTTTGTTTTATGTAACTATAGCATGATAATGTATTAATGATATAATTGGTAATTTTGTCCAAACGCAACGCCTTTCACGACACCTGCTTTCTGTGCAAAAACGTCTGCAGTTCCATACAGAAAGGTCACGTACAGGGAGGGAAAAAGGATGGCATTTGGTTTGAACTGTAACAATACGTGTATTCACAGTTAAAACGATGTCGGTATCGGTAGGTGATAATGATTTTTGTACTGGGATCAACTAAGTAGGAATGAGCTAATATATTCTTTTCACCTGTTACTACAGAAGTCGCCTACACGGCCGAGGATGAGGACGACATCACGCCGGACCTGTGGCAAGAGGCGTGCTGGATCGTTATCTCATCCTATTTTGACGAGAAGGGTCTTGTCCGACAGCAGCTGGACTCGTTCGACGAGTTTATCCAGATGTCTGTTCAGCGGATTGTGGAGGACGCACCGCAGATCGATCTTCAAGCAGAAGCTCAGCATCAGTCCGGCGAGATAGAAATACCGGTATGCACGCCATGCTGGCTCCCACGTACATTGGAACCGTGCAAAGTGTTGTTATGCTATACCTCCTGACTCCTGAGAGATCATCTCTGGGAAGATGCCTTGAATACTCCATTGTTAATTCTCCTCTGTTTTACCTGAATTATTCTCGCTACTGCATATGGAGGGACAGTGATTTTCCAGTTCAAAAAATTGCCTTTTCCGTTTGGGAAAAATTCCAAAGTAAAGAAAAAATGGAAATTCCATTTTGCCATAGCGATTGTACACACCAAAAATGCACCACACTCCTGTGTCATTCCCGATTGCAGCTTTTTCCTCGATTCCGGGAAAGTTTTTCTGTCGCTCCCTCATACCAGCAGTGCTCACCCCTACATATAGAGGGTTCCGCGACTTGCACTAAAAATAGCAATATTACCTACAATCCCATGCCGCCGGCCATACTGGTAGTCAGAATTGCGAACACGTGTTACCGATATGCGCAATCTAGCGATTTTACATCAATAGATTGTACACACGATAGTGTTATTATAGTAATCTATATTAGCAGTAAGTGGATCCCGGTTTTGCAGACAGGTTTACCAGTGCATGTTATAGCTTTCAAATGCAGCGTTTTATAACATCTGGTGTATGCACATTTGCCAACTGTCTGAAGTGTACGTAGTTACTAGTATGGACAAGTACTTTGATTCACTAGACAACGTAGCCAAAGCACGCTATCTCGAGAAAATTGCGTGCATTGGGAATCGACACCTGTACGAGAATGGAGCGAGGTTCACAACTTGTGCCCATCACGTACTTATTTGGATCTCGTGAATTGACGACCTAAAATTCTAGCCGAGACCATTTTATACTCACAAGGACTTTCAGAACCACATGAGCCTGGATGCCTACGATCGACTGTTCTGCAGTTGGGTTAGTGGTGTATCAGTCTACATCTATCATGTGAACAGCGAGAGTCCCATCTACGTTATCCGAGCACGTGTTATGCAGTCCCACTCCCAGTCTCTGATTATACCATCTCTCTATCCATGCATGGGTCACAATGTGAGAATATGGGACAGGCATCATGTCAGCACACTGTAATTGTAAAGCCGGGCTTGGTGAATTCTGTTCACATGTTGCCTCGGTGCTATTTTATGTAGAGTATGCTGCACGTGCAAGAGAAAAAATCATCACCCCCACTCAAACAGCTGCCTACTGGATGCCGGCGCTATATCATATATGTATATAAGTGTAAATGTGTACCGGCGTGCGCTGTGCATGCGGTGTACCGGTGTGTTGCAGAGGAGCATTTGACCGGCATTTACAGGTAATTATCGGCAATACTAGGCGAAAGAGAGTAGAGAAACGTTAAGACTGGTAGTAAATACATTTCGTGTTTATTCAGCATTGCTTTTTTATTGAAAATGCTCCAAGCGTCTGTGGTCCGCCTGGTCTCTCGTCACTACCTTGTGTTGTGATTACGCTAGGCAGCCTAAAAAAGCTGTGTGGCTTTCTCTGATACCGATTGCTGCAGTTGACAACACTGCAGGAGAGCGGCGTTGCATTGATGGATTTGCTTAATAGGCGAATAAAATGAGCAGAGGTGCGTTGCTCAATGTACTTGTACCATGCCTTCAGGAATTGGTTTCGGGAACCGTCATGGCTGGCGGCATTGCATTGTGGGTAATTTGAAAATTTGGGGAGCCCTCTATACAACAATAAGCATGCCCACGTGACTAAAAATCAGTGCATTCGCCCCCCCCTCCCCCCTCCGTACTTCAATCAATGCCGCCCCAGCCAGCAAGCACGAGCCACGATGTGCACAGCTACGGACGTGGGTAACAGGGGTGTCGCGGGCTGCTTTTTTTCGTTTTTTTTTTGGCGTGAGAATGCGTAGAGCATGCGGGAGTGCGGGAGAATGGGTCCAGCAGATGCGTGGGTCTCCCGCGAAATGCGTGAGATTTGGTAGGTCTGCTAACAGAGTAATATTTAAACTAAAAGGTGACTTTATTTTCAGGGTGCCTCAAATGCAGTCTAACACATTCAAATTTTTAAAATTTTGCTGGGGGAGACCCCCAGAACCCCCCTCTTCCTCTCTCCCCTGCGTCTGCCTGCAGAATCCACATTCGTGCCTACTGCATGCCTTTGAATTCATCGTGCATTTTTTCCTCAAACTTGCCATTACCACCGTTGTCTAATTTTCCCTCAGAAGAAACCCTGCTATGCAATATATTTTGTATCGTATTGTATTCATATACCGAGTCAAGTGGTCATAATTTACAAATTTCTTGAAAGTAGTTATCGTAACAGGTATCAGTGTAAGTACGTGTGGAATATCTAAAAATCATGTTTTAGTTCTTGTGCATAGTTACTGAAGTCTATACTGTCATGATATAATTTGTTTGGATTACCTCTGTTTTAGCCCCGGTATCTCCTGAAGTTTGAACAGATCTACTTGTCAAAGCCTACTCACTGGGAAAAGGATGGTGCACCAAGTCCTATGATGCCCAATGAAGCCAGACTTAGAAACCTGACGTATGTGAATTGTGGGGAAAAATTTATTTTTGAATAAAGTAAAATAAAAACTATACCAGGAAAGCAATTGGTGATAGAACGTGATTTATGTATATACTTCATTGTACTAGTGAATTGTTGTGAGTCGTGACTACTTAGTTACAATATTTGGTGATTATAATTTATAGGTATTCGTTGTTTAAGGGCAGAATAAGGAGTATTATTAGTGAATTTCACAATAATAATGTAATACACATTTTCTGTCTTATATAAATACGTAACCTTATTGTAAAATCAAATATTTATTGTTTCTGAATACACACTTACTTTAATACACACTAGAACTAGAAATAGTCAATGATTAATTTATACAGCCTTGATATCTCGAACTACTTTATGGGTTGTTTGTAGGTACTCTGCCCCACTCTATGTCGACATCAAGAAGACGGTGGTGAAAGAAGGTGAGGATCCAGTCGAGACACTGCACCAGAAGACATTCATTGGCAAGATCCCGATCATGCTTCGCTCTACGTACTGCCTGTTAAACGGACAGACGGATCGTGATCTGACAGAGTTGAACGAGTGTCCGCTAGACCCCGGCGGCTATTTCATCATCAACGGCTCGGAGAAGGTACGTGGCTGGCCAAGTTCTAACTCTGTTGTATGCTGATGTTTAGAGGTCGGGTAAGATATAAAACGTAGTTGAAACTTTAAAGAAATGTACAGGTAGACAGACGTACATATAGGCATACAGGCTTTAGTCAAAGTATAATACATAATAGAGATGGAGAACAAGAGGAAGAAGGGGACTAGATTAGATGGGGAAACATAAGGAGAGAGGGTGAAGGCAACTTGGTGGGAAATTTAATAAAATTCTTGAACAACAAAATGTTACTGGTACAGCTTAATTAATGTATATTTGAATGCTTGTAGGTGTTGATTGCCCAGGAGAAGATGGCTACAAACACAGTGTATGTGTTTCAAATGAAAGAGCACAAATACGCGTACAAAACTGAAATCAGGTCTTGTCTTGAGCACTCGTCACGTCCCACCAGCACACTGTGGGTGAACATGCTGGCTAGAGGAGGTGGAGTAAGTATTGCTCTAACGTTTAATATGTTATCAGGAGTAATGTAAGGGTGACACACTAAAATGAGAAGAATCATACATTTACCCGTTTACAGACATTGTTGCCCAAGTGTATACTATAATTTTTAATATTTTTATTATGTATAATATGATTTCCTACTAAAAAACTACTAAATACTTTGAGCGAGTGCGTGCTTGCGTATGGTCGGTCGTTCATGTGTGCACGAGTGTGCGCGTGTGTGTAATATATATGTCTGCATTGTTCTACGCTGTAGGGTGCTAAGAAGAGTGCGATTGGTCAGCGTATCATTGGCATCTTGCCGTACATCAAGCAGGAGATTCCCATCATCATAGTGTTCCGAGCCTTGGGCTTCGTGGCTGACAGAGACATTCTTGAGCACATCATTTATGACTTTGACGATCCTGAGATGATGGAGATGGTACGGCAACAGTTGTGAGGAATGCGCGCAGTGTTCGACAATATCGGTGTGAAACTGCATGTGTATGAAATTTACGAGCGAGCATTATAACGTTAACGTTATGTTTTTACTTTAGTCTTGTTTTAAAAACGTCTCATTTTCCATTTCGTCAGATGAGTACTGCTTATTTGTCAGTGGTTTGACAGTTCATACATGTCATGCTTCAAATGCCCTGTTAACATATTGCTGGATGCTCATTGTTGTAATTCTGCTTAAAAATTGAGTTAGAGAGATCACGTGTAAGACGTATAGCCCATGTAGTGAGATAGATAAATTCATCGTGCCTCTTGCGTATGTAGGTCAAGCCGTCGTTAGACGAAGCTTTCGTCATCCAAGAGCAAAATGTTGCGCTCAACTTCATCGGCGCCAGAGGAGCGCGACCTGGTGTCACAAAGGAGAAGCGCATCAAATATGCGAAGGAAATCTTGCAGAAGGAAATGCTACCGCACGTTGGTGTCAGCGACTTCTGTGAGACAAAGAAGGCATACTTCCTCGGGTATATATCAAAATTGTTTGTTATTCTCAACGATGTTTGTATGTATGAGCTTGTGGCTACATTGCCCAGTTCAATATTTAGACAAATAGGTAAAATAGACTCGGAATGTAGGTGTTGATGTTAAATGAAGGTTAGGTGTTCCGTCATGTACTTGGATGGTCAAATATGTAAAAGATCGATAAAATATATTTAAAAAATGCCATGACACGTTTCCCAGCTTGTATGTATTGGAATGTATTTGTTAAACTTTGCATGTTTGTGCATATATATGTATGTGTATGTTGTTTTTGTGTGATGCGTTTTGAATGGGTTTGGTTCTCCTCTGCATTAATCATTACTTATTTGGTGTACATTTATTTTCTATGCAGCTACATGGTGCACAGACTTCTGCTGGCAGCACTAGGTCGAAGAGAGATCGACGATCGTGATCACCTTGGCAACAAGCGTCTGGATCTGGCCGGTCCTCTTATGGCATTCCTGTTTCGGGGGTATGTTATCATCAGCTTGAAATAGCTCAATTTATTTGGATATCTAGCTATATGATCTATATATGTGACCCATCACATCGAAACAGGTCTTAAGTTGCATTTTGGCTGATATGAGTTATGCACGTTTTCAGATTCCTGACTCCATAAGCTTTATTTTGATACCTTATTCATCTCTGTAGCATGTTTAGTTAGAACTGGAGATATAGCCGGATTTGTCCGAACAAATTGGAAGATTTCTGAGGAGTAGAATTTGAGAAAAATGAGTTGACAAAATCTCAAAATTGGGGGAAAAAATCAGTCACTCTACTACATCATGCATGGCTCAATACTTGGCTGTGCGACTTAAGACCTGGTTTGATGTGACAGGTCACATATTAAAAATGAAGTGATGAGCAGTGATCGGCCCTATGCGCCACCAGGCGCGAAGCGGATAGGTAACAAGTAACAGATGAGCAGTGAATGTGGAATAGCACTTCTCTCACATGCATTTTTTTTTATTTCTTGCATCATATACTGTATACGCTGTATATTTCACAGTGGTTTAATTTTCGGTAATTTCGCGAACGCGTCCCCGACCACGAAAATAGCAACACGAGAATAATTAATACCGAATAATAACGAATTATCCATAATTCACCGACCACGAAATTAACCGCACGCGGAATTGTCCGTCAGGTCTGAAGTCGCGAAAATATCTGTACGCGAAAAATATGGCGTATACAGTATTCTACAGAAGTATAAGGGCTACGTGTTTTGTCCCTGTGAACTGATGTCCTACACATCCACGCCGTCAGGACTAAATATTTCACTTGTAATTTAGGCTGTTCAAAAATCTGATGAAGGAGGTGCGAATATATGCTCAGAAGTTCATCGACAGAGGAAAAGACTTCAACCTGGAGCTGGCCATCAAGACTCGCATCATCACCGACGGACTCAAGTACTCGCTGGCGACGGGTAATTGGGGAGACCAGAAGAAAGCTCACCAGGCTCGAGCTGGCGTGTCCCAGGTGGGCTATGTCTCTAATGCTGTAATGACCAAACTAACTGCTCTTCTTTATTTCATCTAATACAAAAGTAATGGCATGTCTTAGGTGAGCGAGTTAGAGAGTGAGATCTGGAGATGCATTGTTCTTAAAAGTTTGTCAATCTGAGTAAAATTCGAGTTTAAAGAGTGAGATCTGGAGATGCATTGTTCTTAAAAGTTTGTCAATCGGAGTAAAATTCGAGTTTAAAGAGTGAGATCTGGAGATGCATTGTTCTTAAAAGTTTGTCAATCTGAGTAAAATTCATGTTTAAAGAGTGAGATCTGGAGATGCATTGTTCCGCAGCGGTTCTCAGTTCACTGTGGCTGATGCTGTCTCCATGACAGTGACCCTGTTTCCGACCTCCTTACCCTGCAGTCTCCGCCCAGGGTCAGGCCAGTAAGAGCGGGTACATTCCTGACACGAGATACAAAAATGATTAGGATCGTAGATGGATGACGTGTATTACTGCCAAGAGATGGAACTTCGCAACAGTATGCCACGTGGTCGAACAACGGCATCGTGCGTGATTCGACGGTGGAGTCGCGTGATGTTCTGACGGTCTGTTGTTGTCGTTTGCAGGTGTTGAATCGACTCACGTTCGTATCAACGCTCTCTCACCTGCGTCGGTGTAACTCTCCCGTCGGACGTGACGGCAAGCTGGCAAAGCCCAGGCAGCTGCACAACTCGCAGTGGGGCATGGTCTGCCCAGCTGAAACACCCGAGGTAAGGAAAAGCGAGCTTGCAATGGTCCCCAGTGGATGTATCGAGCTGCAGGGAGCATATGACACCCACACATAGTGGTGTTATTGGGAACGAGTATGTGGCGGTGTTGAGATTTAGGGAGCATGTGACACCCACACGGTAGTGGTGTTGGGAACGAGTATGTGGAGGTGTGCTTGGCAGAATGTAAGGTCGTGGAGAGATTGCACGGGGACCCCTGCTATAACTATCATAGAATGTTATTAAGAGCTAATAATACATGGAGTGTATAACGGGAAAACGAGGAAATGGTGTTATTTTACGGCAAAATTAATCAATTTCAAATGCAAGTCTAGAATGAATTGATAGTACAGGTACACCACCGATTTGCCGGAACCCTTGGTTCCAAGGCCTTTCTGGATCATCCGTTTTTCCGGACCAAAAGAGGTCACATAATAATTCAACAATACACCTCTGAGCAACTAAATACCTCACATCATGTCTCCCATCATCTCTAAAGCACCATGCACTGCTAGAAATGTACACACAAATAGTAAATGTAAATTTATGTAAACCACCACTGACACTTGCACCTGCCTTAGACGCCATAGCTAGGGTAAAATTTGAGCAAAACAAGGTGGTGGCCACCCGGTGCATTTTATCCGGACTAAAACAGGTTCCGGACTATCAGTGTCCGGAAAATACCTGTACCTGTACCTGTACCTGTATGATGTATTGCATTAAACAGAATTCTCTCCTCTCTAAATCGAGTCTAACGGCTTGTCTCTACAACAATCTAATATGAAAATCGTGAAATGTGTCGGATCAGCTTGTGCATCAATTATTGTACTGTAGGTAGGAATAAATGTTCCAAAGTCATCTTAATCTTTCCAAGCTTATCAATTGGAGTAAACTTTTAGTTGAGTTAAAGAGTGAGATCTGGAGATGCATTGTTCCGCAGCGGTTCTCAGTTCACTGTGGCTGATGCTGTCTCCATGACAGTGACCCTGTTTCCGACCTCCTTACCCTGCAGTCTCCGCCCAGGGTCAGGCCAGTAAGAGCGGGTACATTCAATCCTATGCTTGACAAAGATTACTGATGATAGCCACACACAACAGGTGGTTTACCTCATGAGAATTGTACTGGCGCAGAAAGCTTAGATGGCGGGTGGCTAACATCAGTGGATGCTCTCGTTGCAGGGTCACGCCGTAGGATTGGTGAAGAATCTCGCACTGATGGCGTACATCTCGGTCGGATCTCAACCTTCGCCCATCCTGGAGTTCCTCGAGGAGTGGAGCATGGAAAACCTGGAGGAGATAGCACCGTCAGCCATATCAGAGTAAGGGGGCGAGCATGTTAGCACAGCACAGACATTACCTCGTTAATTTTAATCCCATTCCTTTTGCTTTAATTATACTGTTTTATTACTATTATTATATTAATTACTATAATTGCTTTAATTTCACTATTTGCTTTAATTACATATGAACGTTGTGCTCTTGCCCTAACTTATGTTGCATTTCGATGCGTGAGAACTGTTATACGTTATGAACTGTTCTTGTGTTTGTTGCTGCAGTGCGACAAAGATCTTTGTGAACGGCTGCTGGGTGGGCATCCATCGTGATCCCGAGCAGCTAATGAACACCCTCAAGAAGCTGCGACGACAAATGGACATCATCGTGTCTGAAGTAAGC